TCTGACGGTGTAGACGGAGTGTTGGTTATGACGGTGTAGACGGAACGCTAGGGGTGACGATGTAGACGGAGTGTTGGTTGTGACGGTGTAGAAGGAACGCAAGAGGTGACGGCGTAGAAGGAACGCTAGAGGTGACGATGTAGACGGAGTGCTGGTTGTGATGGTGTAGACGGAACGCTAGAGGTGACGATGTAGACGGAGTGCTGGTTGTGACGGTGTAGAAGGAACGCTAGAGGTGACGATGTAGACGGAGTGCTGGTTGTGATGGTGTAGAAGGAACGCTAGAGGTGACGATTTAGACGGAGTGCTGGTTGTGATGGTGTAGAAGGAACGCTAGAGGTGACGATGTAGACGGAGTGTTGGTTGTGACGGTGTAGAAGGAGCGCTAGAGGCGATGGCGTAGACGGAAAGATGGCACAGTCGTTGAGAAGATAGATAACAGAGTTTCACAAGTAATCAGTCGTGTGTTTGTTTGGTATGCATGCCAGACAGTGAGGCATGGCCGCGATAAACGCACCGCGTCGCGTCGCCCCATCCAAACGAAGGACAAACCCAGCGCCACTCTAAAGTTAAAAAAGACCTGGTTTTGTATTTTACATTGGTAATTATTTCTATTTACCTAACTCGTACTTGTCGTTGATAACAGTTTCATACAACTATTCAAACAACTATGCTTACAACTATATTCATACAACTATTCAAACAACTATGCTTACAACTATATTCATACAACTATGTCCAAACCCGTGAAGATCAGCACCATGTCCGTGCTCGTGGGTTTCACCAAAATCGTAAGCGTCTGAGACCTGCATCACTCATTAAGCTGACACTCGTGACTTAACTGGAATGCTGTTCAAAGAATACTCACTCACTCGTTGGTTTGAATCCCAGTTAACTTAGATATGGGACTATCAGCACTACAGCGCTGCCATAGGTTTGGGTGGGATATTGATATACTAGCTGTCCATAGTGACTCCAAACCCAGCCGGCACAAAATGGAGGCGACAAAACTTACAAATATTGTGATCAAAGTAAAATTCGTTGTTGAGGGGATATATTCAATTTGTGAGAGTCTTATGATGGTGTGTGTGTTAGATTGTGTTTCAGTGGTACGGCGACCGAGTCTAAATGGCAAATGACAGTTGATCATGACGGGGATAATTGACGTCAGGCTCGAAATGCGGTGTAGAGTGTCTTAATTCACAAATGGCAGTCGCTTTTCACGCAACCCGGGCTCACCAGAAGGCAACAATGATATCCGAGACACCATCAAAGAGACAAGGGCCACGCGCCATCTTGTTCCAGTAACGTCAATGTTGGGATGTAAGTATGGTCACAAACCACACTCCCCCGACCTGGGTTTACAGCACGGGAATAAAGGATCTGTTTATTTAAGCCGTGGTCAAGCCGGTGATTTTATTTTATTTTGTTCATCAAAGTCTCCAAGAACGTGACATCGCATCCGTGATGGCGGATATTCACGTGACCTTGGGCAGTGTTGTCTGAGAGAGAGATCGGCGACTGTCATTATCGTATGGCCATTGTTTGATTCACTGTGGTCAGCCTACGAGCAGAAACATTGTATGAGATGTGAATTATGGTGCGACTGTTGACTGTGAATCTGGTCTGGAGGACGGATATTGAGTGAGTGTTGTGAGAGTGTTGGATGTTTGCTTTTCTCATCTATGGCAACACGTGCAGGGTCAACCTACTGACCTAAGGCCGTGACAGCGAACTACAAAAGTGATGAAGATTTTTAAATTGTGTACCATTCAAAAGTAATTTTCTACCAAATAAGTTTCATAGGCACAGTAATTTCGCCTTTTCTCAGCATGAATCACAGAATATGCAACAGATCACTGTAGTGAAGGAAGGATGCGTTGATAGCCATCACCGATTTGTAAGCAGAAGGAAAGCAACTTTTTTTAAATTCGCGAAACTAAGAGACTTTTTTATAGAGCGATTCATAAGGCGAGGCGTTGTTAATGCTGCCAACTTTCACCAAGTCTCTTCATTTAGCCTCCGTGACACAATGGCCGTTGTGGCGAATGTGAACGACATACTCGCCATGACGGAGCTATTGATGTGAAGGAGGTGTGTGCTCCACAACACGTAGCGATGTTCACGTTCCCCCAGCTGTAATGCTGAATCTTTTAGAAAACGTCCCATTAACACCTAGTTATGTATGTATGTATGTACACTGTCGATGAAATTCATAAAACAAGGAATCCTTCTGGTGTCCACAGTATCTGCGTGACAGAACGCGGGTGTGAATGTAGACGCCAGAGCTCAAACCGAGCATGATAAAACCGTTTGGAAAAGGATGAATGCAGTGTGTGATCGCGAAATATTAATAATAATTAAATTACTCCTGAAACATCCTCCAAATATAGGATACAGCCCTATAGCATACTCGTAACGTGTGACACTGACCAGCCCTATAGAACACCGATAACGTTACACTGACCAGCCCTATAGCACACCGATAACGTGTTACACTGACCAGCCCTATAGAACACTGATAACGTGTTACACTGACCAGCCCTATAGAACACTGATAACGTTACATTGACCAGCCCTATAGAACACCGATAACGTTACATTGACCAGCCCTATAGCACACCGATAACGTGTTACACTGACCAGCTCTATAGCACACTGATAACGTGTTACACTGACCAGCCCTATAGCACACTGATAACGTGTTACACTGACCAGCCCTATAGCATACTGGTAACGTGTTACACTGACCAGCCCTATAGAACACTGATAACGTGTCACATTGACCAGCCCTCTAGAACACTGATAACGCGTTACACTGACCAGCCCTATAGAACACCGATAACGTGTTACACTGACCAGCCCTATAGAACACCGATAACGTGTTACACTGACCAGCCCTATAGCATACTGGTAACGTGTTACACTGACCAGCCCCATAGAATACTGATAATGTGTTACACAGACCAGCCTTATAGAACACTGATAATGTGTTACACTGACCAGCCCTATAGAACACCGATAACGTGTTACACTGACCAGCCCTATAGAACACCGATAACGTGTTACACTGACCAGCCCTATAGCATACTGGTAACGTGTTACACTGACCCGCCCTATAGAACACTGATAATGTGTTACACAGACCAGCCTTATAGAACACTGATAATGTGTTACACAGACCAGCCCTATAGAACACTGATAATGTGTTACACAGACCAGCCCTATAGAACACTGATAATGTGTTACACAGACCAGCCCTATAGTACACCGATAATGTGTTACACTGACCAGTCCTATAGAACATTGATAATGTGTTACACTGACCAGTCCTATAGAACATTGATAATGTGTTACACAGACCAGCCCTATAGAACACTGATAATGTGTTACACAGAGCAGCCCTATAGTACACCGATAATGTGTTACACTGACCAGTCCTATAGAACATTGATAATGTGTTACACTGACCAGTCCTATAGAACATTGATAATGTGTTACACTGACCAGTCCTATAGAACACCGATAACGTGTTACACTGACCAGTCCTATAGAACATTGATAATGTGTTACACTGACCAGCCCTATAGTACACCGATAACGTGTTACACTGACCAGTCCTATAGAACATTGATAATGTGTTACACTGACCAGTCCTATAGAACACCGATAACGTGTTACACTGACCAGTCCTATAGAACACTGATAACGTGTTACACTGACCAGTCCTATAGAACACTGATAACGTGTTACACTGACCAGTCCTATAGAACACCGATAACGTGTTACACAGACCAGCCCTATAGAACACTGATAACGTGTTACACTGACCAGTCCTATAGAACACTGATAACGTGTTACACAGACCAGCCCTATAGATAACTGATAACGTGTTACACAGACCAGTCCTATAGAACACTGATAACGTGTTACACTGACCAGCCCTATAGAATACTGATAACATGTTACACAGTCCAGCCCTACAGCACACTGATAACGTGTCACACTGACCAACCACATAGAACCGTACTACGTTGGACATAGATCTCCTGCTGCAAGTGACAAACGTGTATTACGTGAGGCCGTACCCCGTGACCTCCTACACCACAGTCCGTCGCCTACATGCGCGTGCACTGCGTTAGGCCCGTCGAGCACTTGAGCAAAGCGTGCGGTTTACCCTCCACTTCAAAGCTCCTGGGGAGGTCACATGGCCCCCGTGGTTCTCACGCCACAACACACACCAGGGTCACGTTGGGATCTTTAATAACTCATACTGAGTGTTACATCTCAGTAGGTCAAGTGTGGACATACATAGGGCAGCAATACCATGGGCAACACCGACATGGGGAGTACAGACATGGGGAACACCGACATGGGGAGTACAGACATGGGGAACACCGAGATGGCGTGAACAGACATCGGGAACATCGACATTGGTAGTACAGACATGGGGAACACCAACATGGGGAACATCAACATTGGGAGTGCAGACATGGGGAACAGCGACATAAGGAACACCGACATGGGGAGTACAGATATGGGGAACACCGACATGGGGAGTACAGACATGGGGAACACCGACATGGGGAGTACAGACATGGGGAACACCGAGATGGCGTGAACAGACATCGGGAACATCGACATTGGGAGTACAGACATGGGGAAGACAAACATGGGGGACATCAACATTGGGAGTGCAGACATGGGGACAGCGACATAAGGAACATCGACATGGGGAGTACAGATATGGGGAACACCGACATGGGGAGTACAGACATGGGGAACACAGACATGGGCAACATCGACATTGGGAGTACAGACTTGGAAAACACGGACATGGGGAGTACAGATATGGGGAACACCGACATGGGGAACATCAACATTTGGAGTACAGACATGGGGAACATCGACATGGGGAGTACAGACATGGGGACACCGACATGGGGAGTACAGACATAGGGAACACCGACATTGGAAGTACAGACATGGGTAACACCGACATGGGGAACATCAACATTTGGAGTACAGACATCAGTAACACCGACATTGGGAGTACAGACATCGGGAACACCGACATGGGGAACACCGACATGAGGAACACCGACATGGGGAACACAGACATGGAGTGTACAGACATGGAGAACACCGACATGGGGAGTACAGACATGGGGAACATCGACATGGGGAACATCAACATTTGGAGTACAGACATGGGGAACACCGACATTGGGAGTACAGACATGGGGAACACCGACATGGGGAACATCAACATTTGGAGTACAGACATGGGGAACACCGACATTTGGAGTACAGATATGGGTAACACCGACATGGGGAACACCGACATGAGGAACACCGACATGGGGAACACCGACATGGGGTGTACAGACATAGGGAACACCGACATGGGGTGTGCAGACATGGGGAACATCGACATTGGGAGTACAGACATGGGGAACACAGACATGGGGAGTACAGATATGGGGAACACCGACATGGGGTGTGCAGACATGGGGAACATCGACATTGGGAGTACAGACATGGGGAACACCGACATGCGGAGTACAGATATGGGGAACACCGACATGGGGAGTACAGATATGGGGAACACCGACATCGGGAACATCGGCATTGGCAGTACAGACATGGGGAACACCGACTTGGGGAACATCGACATTTGGAGTACAGACATGGGGAACACCGACATGGGGAACACCGACATGGGGAGTACAGATATGGGGAACACCGACATGGGGAACATCGGCATTGGGAGTACAGACATGGGGAACATCGACATTGGGAGTACAGACATGGGGAACAACGACATGGGGAGTACAGACATGTGGAACACCGACATAGGGAGTACAGATATGGGGAACACCGACATGGGGAACATCAACATGGGGAGTACAGACATGGGGAACACCGAGATGGAGTGAACAGACATAGGGAACATCGACATTGGGAGTACAGACATGGGCAGCACAGACATGGGGAGTACAGATATGGGGAACACCGAGACAGGGAACATCGGGATTGGGAGTGCAGACATTGGGAACACCGACATGGGGAGTACAGATATAGGGGAACACCGACATGGGGAACATCGGCATTGGCAGTGCAGACATGGGGAACATCGGCATTGGGAGTACAGACATGGGGAACACCGACATGGGGTGTACAGACATGGGGAATATCAACGTTGGGAGTACAGACATTGCGAACACCGACATGAGGAACACCGACATTGGGAACATCGGCATTGGGAGTGCAGACATGGGGAAAATCGACATTGGGAGTACAGACATGGGGAACACAAACATGGGGAGTACAGACATGGGGAACACCGACATGGGGAACATCGACATTGGGAGTACAGACATGGGGAACACAGACATTGGGAGTACAGACATGGGGAACACCGACATGAGGAGTACAGACATGGGTAACACCGACGTAGGGAGTGCAGGCATTGATAACACCGACATTGAGTGAACAGACATGGGGAACACCGACATGGGGAACATCGACATTCGGAGTACAGACATGGGGAACATCGACATGGGGAGTACAGATATGGGGAACACAGACATGGGAAGTACAGACATGGGGAGTACAGACATGAGGAACACCGACATGGGGAGTAGAGACATGGGGAACACCGACATTGGGAGAACATACATGGGAACACTGACATAGGGAACATCGACATTGGGAGTACAGACATGGGGAACACAGACATGGGGAGTACAGACATGGGGAGTACAGACATGGGGAGTACAGACATGAGGAACACCGACATGGGGAGTACATATATGGGGAACACCGACATTGGGAGAACATACATGGGAACACTGACATAGGGAACATCGACATTGGGAGTACAGACATGGGGAACACAGACATGGGGAGTACAGACATTTGGAGTACAGACATGAGGAACACCGACATGGGGAGTACAAACATAGGGAACACCGACATGGGGTGAACAGACATGGGTAACATCGACATTGGGAGTACATACATGGAAACACAGACATGGGGAGTACAGATATGGGGACACCGACATGGGGAACATCGGCATGGGGAGTACAGATATGGGAACACTGACATTGGGAGTACAGACATGGGGAACTATGACATGAGGAACTCCGACATGGGGAATACAGACATGGGGAACACAGACATGGGGTGTACAGACATGGGGAACATCGACATGGGGAGTACAGACATGGGGAACACTGACATTTGGAGTACAGACATGGGGAACACAGACATGGGGAGTACAGACATGGGGAACACCGACATGGGGAACATCGACATTGGGAGTACAGACATGGGGAACACAGACATTGGGAGTACAGACATGGGGAACACAGACATGAGGAGTACAGACATGGGTAACACCGACGTAGGGAGTGCAGGCATTGATAACACCGACATTGAGTGAACAGACATGGGGAACACCGACATGGGGAACATCGACATTCGGAGTACAGACATGGGGAACATCGACATGGGGAGTACAGATATGGGGAACACGTACATAGGGAGTACAGACATGGGAAGTACAGACATGGGGAGTACAGACATGAGGAACACCGACATGGGGAGTAGAGACATGGGGAACACCGACATTGGGAGAACATACATGGGAACACTGACATAGGGAACATCGACATTGGGAGTACAGACATGGGGAACACAGACATGGGGAGTACAGACATTGGGAGTACAGACATGAGGAACACCGACATGGGGAGTACAAACATAGGGAACACCGACATGGGGTGTACAGACATGGGTAACATCGACATTGGGAGTACATACATGGAAACACAGACATGGGGAGTACAGATATGGGGACACCGACATGGGGAACATCGGCATGGGGAGTACAGATATGGGAACACTGACATTGGGAGTACAGACATGGGGAACTATGACATGAGGAACTCCGACATGGGGAATACAGACATGGGGAACACAGACATGGGGTGTACAGACATGGGGAACATCGACATGGGGAGTACAGACATGGGGAACACTGACATTCGGAGTACAGACATGGGGAACACAGACATGGGGAGTACAGACATGGGGAACTATGACATGAGGAACACCGACATGGGGAGTACATATATGCGGAACACCGACATTGGGAGAACAGACATGGGAACACTGACATAGGGAACATCGACATTGGGATTACAGACATGGGGAACATCGACATGGGGAGTACAGACATGGGGAACACCGACATTGGGAGTACAGATATGGGAAACACCGACATGGGGAATACAGACATGGGTAACACCGACATGGGGAACATCAACATTTGGAGTACAGACATAGGGAACATCAACATTTGGATTACAGACATGGGGAACACTGACATTGGGAACATCTGCATGAGGAACATCGACATTGGGAACATCTGCATGAGGAACACCGACATGGGGAGAACAGACATGGGGAACACCGATATTGGGCGTACAGACATGAGGAACACCGACATGGGGAGTACAGACATGAGGAACACCGACATGGGGAGTACAGACATGGGGAACACCGCTATTGGGAACATCGGCATGAGGAACACCGACATGGTGAGTACAGACATGAGGAACATCGACATGGGGAACATCGACATTGGGAGTACAGACATGGGGAACACCGACATGGGGAACATCGACATTGGGAGTACAGATATGGGGAACACCGACAGGGGGAACATCAACATTTGGAGTACAGACATGGGGAACACCGACATGGGGAACAGCGACATTGGGAGTACAGACATGGGGAACATCGGCATTGGGAGTACAGATATGGGGAATACAGACATGGGGAACATCGGCATTGGGAGTACAGATACGGGGAACACCGACATGGGGAACATCAACATTTGGAGTACAGACATGGGGAACACCGACATGGGGAACATCGACATTGGGAGTACAGACATGGGGAATACCGACATGGGGAGTACAGACATGGGGAACACCGAGATGGAGTGAACAGACATAGGGAAGATCGACATTGGGAGTACAGACATGGGGAGCACAGACATGGGGAGTACAGACATGGGGAACACCGACATAGGGAACATCGGCATTGGGAGTGCAGACATGGGGAATACCGACATGGGGAGTACAGAAATGGGGAACACCGACATGGGGAATACAGACATGGGGAACACCGACATGGGGTGTAGAGACATGGGGAACACCGACATGGGGTGTACAGACATGGGGAACACCGACATGGGGAACATCAACATCGGGAATACAGAAATGGGCAACACCGACATGGGCAGTACACACATGGGGAACACCGACATGTGGTGTACAGACATGGGGAACAGCGACATGGGGTGTACAGACATGGGGAACATCGACATGGGCAGCACAGACATGGGGAGTACAGATATTGGGAATACCGACATAGGGAACATCGGCATTGGGAGTGCAGACATGGGGAACATCGCCATTGGGAGTGCAGACATGGAGAATACTGACATGGGGAGTACAGAAATCGGGAACACCGACATGGGGTGTACAGACATGGGGAACACCGACATGGGGTGTACAGACATGGGGAACATCAACATTGGGAGTACAGACATGGGGAACATCGACATTGTTGGTACAGACATCGAAAACACGGATATTGGGAGTACAGATATGGGGAACACGGACATGGGGAACATCAACATTGGGAGTACAGACATGGGAAACACCGACATGGGGAATACAGACATGGGTAACACCGACATGTGGTGTACAGACATGGGGAACATCGACATTGGGAGTACAGACATGGGGAACATCAACATTGGGAGTACAGACATGGGGAACACCGCCGTCATGGGGTGTACAGAAATGGGGAACAACGACATGGGGTGTACAGACATGGGGAACATCGACATTGGGAGCACAGACATGGGGAACACCGCCGTCATGGGGTGTACAGAAATGGGGAACAACGACATGGGGTGTACAGACATGGGGAACATCGACATTGGGAGCACAGACATGGGGAACACCGACATGAGGAACACCGTAATCGGGAGTACATACATAGGGAACATCGACATGGGGTGTACAGACATGGGGAACATCGACATTGGGAGTACAGACATGGGGAACACAGACATGGGGAGGACAGGTATGGGGAACACCGACATGGGGAACATCGGCATGGGGAGTACAGATATGGGAACACTGACATGGGGAGTACAGACATTGGGAACATCGACATGGGAAGAAAAAACATGGGGAACTATGACATGAGGAACACCGACATGGGGAGTACAGACATGGGTAACACCGACATGGGGAGTACAGACATGGGGAACACTGACATGAGGAACACCGACATGGGGAGTACAGAAATGGGGAACACCGACATGGGGAGTACAGACATGGGGAACACTGACATGAGGAACACCGACATGGGGAGTACAGACATGAGGAACACCGACATGGGGAGTACAGACATGAGGAACACCGACATGGGGAGTACAGACATGGGGAACATCGACATGTTGTGTACAGACATGGGAAACACAGACATGGGGAGTACAGACATGGGGAACATCAACATTGGGAGTACAGACATGGGGAACACCGACATGGGGAACATCGGCATTGGGAGTACAGACTTGGGGAACACCGAAATGGGGATATATATATGGCACGACACAGATACACACTGCAGTATGTGATGTATACATATAGCACCTCACAGATACACACTGCAATATGTGATATATATATAGCACCTCACAGATACACACTGCGGTATGTGATGTATATAGCACCTCACAGATACACACTGCAATAGGTGATATATATAGCACCTCACAGATACACACTGCAATATGTCATGTATATAGCACCTCACAGATACACACTGCAATATGTCATGTATATAGCACCTCACAGATACACACTGCAAAATGTGATATATAAAGCACCTCACAGATACACACTGCAATATGTGATATATATAGCACCTCACAGATACACACTGCAATATGTGATATAAATAGCACCTCACAGATACACACTGCAATATGTGATATTTATAGCACCTCACAGATACACACAGCAATATGTGATGTATATAGCACCTCACAGATACACACTGCAAAATGTGATATATAAAGCACCTCACAGATACACACTGCAATATGTGATATATATAGCACCTCACATACACACACTGCAATATGTAAAATATATATAGCACCTCACAGATACACACTGCAATATGTCATGTATATAGCACCTCACAGATACACACTGCAATATGTCATGTATATAGCACCTCACAGATACACACTGCAATATGTCATGTATATAGCACCTCACAGATACACTGCAGTATGTCATGTATATAGCACCTCACAGATACACACTGCAATATGTCATGTATATAGCACCTCACAGATACACACTGCAATATGTCATGTATATTGCACCTCACAGATACACACTGCAATATGTAATGTATATTGCACCTCACAGATACACACTGCAATATGTCATGTATATAGCACCTCACATACACACACTGCAATATGTAAAATATATATAGCACCTCACAGATACACACTGCAATATCTCATGTATATAGCACCTCACAGATACACACTGCAATATGTCATGTATATTGCACCTCACAGATACACACTGCAATATGTGATATATATAGCACCTCACATACACACACTGCAATATGTAAAATATATATAGCACCTCACAGATACACACTGCAATATGTCATGTATATAGCACCTCACAGACACACTGCAATGTGTGATCTACATAGCACCTCACAGATACACTGCAATATGCCATGTATATAGCACCTCACAGACACACTGCAATGTGTGATATAAGTAGCACCTCACAGATACACACTGCAATATGTGATATTTATAGCACCTCACAGATACACACTGCAATATGTAATGTATATAGCACCTCACATAGACACACTGCAAAATGTGATATATAAAGCACCTCACAGATACACACTGCAATATGTGATATATATAGCACCTCACATACACACACTGCAATATGTAAAATATATATAGCACCTCACAGATACACACTGCAATATGTCATGTATATAGCATCTCACAGATACACACTGCAAAATGTGATATATAAAGCACCTCACAGATACACACTGCAATATGTGATATATATAGCACCTCACAGATACACACTGCAATATGTGATATATATAGCACCTCACATACACACACTGCAATATGTAAAATATATATAGCACCTCACAGATACACACTGCAATATGTCATGTATATAGCACCTCACAGATACACACTGCAATATGTCATGTATATAGCACCTCACAGATACACACTGCAATATGCCATGTATATAGCACCTCACAGATACACACTGCAGTATTTCATGTATATAGCACCTCACAGATACACACTGCAATATGTCATGTATATAGCACCTCACAGATACACACTGCAATATGTCATGTATATTGCACCTCACAGATACACACTGCAATATGTGATATATATAGCACCTCACATACACACACTGCAATATGTAAAATATATATAGCACCTCACAGATACACACTGCAATATGTCATGTATATAGCACCTCACAGATACACACTGCAATATGTCATGTATATAGCACCTCACAGATACAGAGTGCAATATGTCATGTATATAGAACCTCACAGACACACTGCAATATGTCATGTATATAGCACCTCACAGATACACACTGCAATATGTCATGTATATTGCACCTCACAGATACACACTGCAATATGTAATGTATATTGCACCTCACAGATACACACTGCAATATGTAATGTATATTGCACCTCACATACACACACTGCAATATGTAAAATATATATAGCACCTCACAGATACACACTGCAATATCTCATGTATATAGCACCTCACAGATACACACTGCAATATGTCATGTATATTGCACCTCACAGATACACACTGCAATATGTGATATATATAGCACCTCACATACACACACTGCAATATGTAAAATATATATAGCACCTCACAGATACACACTGCAATATGTCATGTATATAGCACCTCACAGACACACTGCAATGTGTGATCTACATAGCACCTCACAGATACACTGCAATATGCCATGTATATAGCACCTCACAGACACACTGCAATGTGTGATATAAGTAGCACCTCACAGATACACACTGCAATATGTGATATTTATAGCACCTCACAGATACACACTGCAATATGTAATGTATATAGCACCTCACATAGACACACTGCAAAATGTGATATATAAAGCACCTCACAGATACACACTGCAATATGTGATATATATAGCACCTCACATACACACACTGCAATATGTAAAATATATATAGCACCTCACAGATACACACTGCAATATGTCATGTATATAGCATCTCACAGATACACACTGCAAAATGTGATATATAAAGCACCTCACAGATACACACTGCAATATGTGATATATATAGCACCTCACAGATACACACTGCAATATGTGATATATATAGCACCTCACATACACACACTGCAATATGTAAAATATATATAGCACCTCACAGATACACACTGCAATATGTCATGTATATAGCACCTCACAGATACACACTGCAATATGTCATGTATATAGCACCTCACAGATACACACTGCAATATGCCATGTATATAGCACCTCACAGATACACACTGCAGTATTTCATGTATATAGCACCTCACAGATACACACTGCAATATGTCATGTATATAGCACCTCACAGATACACACTGCAATATGTCATGTATATTGCACCTCACAGATACACACTTCAATATGTGATATATATAGCACCTCACATACACACACTGCAATATGTAAAATATATATAGCACCTCACAGATACACACTGCAATATGTCATGTATATAGCACCTCACAGATACACACTGCAATATGTCATGTATATAGCACCTCACAGATACAGAGTGCAATATGTCATGTATATAGAACCTCACAGACACACTGCAATGTGTGATCTATATAGCACCTCAGAGATACACTGCAATATGTGATGTATACAGCACCTCACAGATACACTGCAATTATTCATGTATACAGCACCTCACAGACACGCTGCAATATGTGATGTATATAGCACCTCACAGATACACTGCAATATGTCATGTATACAGCACCTCACAGACACGCTGCAATATGTCATGTATATAGCACCTCAGAGACACACTGCAATATGTCATGTATACAGCACCTCACAGACACGCTGTAATATGTGATGTATATAGCACCTCACAGATACACTGCAATATGTCATGTATACAGCACCTCACAGATACACTGCAATTAGTCATGTATACAGCACCTCACAGACACGCTGCAATATGTGATGTATATAACACCTCACAGACACACTGCAATATGTCATGTATACAGCACCTCACAGACACGCTGCAATATGTGATGTATATAGCACCTCACAGATACACTGCAATATGTCATGTATACAGCACCTCACAGATACACACTGCAATATGTCATGTATACAGCACCTCACAGATACACACTGCAATATGTCATGTATACAGCACCTCACAGATACACACTGCAATATGTGATATATATAGCACCTCACATACACACACTGCAATATGTAAAATATATATAGCACCTCACAGATACACACTGCAATATGTCATGTATATAGCATCTCACAGATACACACTGCAAAATGTGATATATAAAGCACCTCACAGATACACACTGCAATATGTGATATATATAGCACCTCACAGATACACACTGCAATATGTGATATATATAGCACCTCACATACACACACTGCAATATGTAAAATATATATAGCACCTCACAGATACACACTGCAATATGTCATGTATATAGCACCTCACAGATACACACTGCAATATGTCATGTATATAGCACCTCACAGATACACACTGCAATATGCCATGTATATAGCACCTCACAGATACACACTGCAGTATTTCATGTATATAGCACCTCACAGATACACACTGCAATATGTCATGTATATAGCACCTCACAGATACACACTGCAATATGTCATGTATATTGCACCTCACAGATACACACTTCAATATGTGATATATATAGCACCTCACATACACACACTGCAATATGTAAAATATATATAGCACCTCACAGATACACACTGCAATATGTCATGTATATAGCACCTCACAGATACACACTGCAATATGTCATGTATATAGCACCTCACAGATACAGAGTGCAATATGTCATGTATATAGAACCTCACAGACACACTGCAATGTGTGATCTATATAGCACCTCAGAGATACACTGCAATATGTGATGTATACAGCACCTCACAGATACACTGCAATTATTCATGTATACAGCACCTCACAGACACGCTGCAATATGTGATGTATATAGCACCTCACAGATACACTGCAATATGTCATGTATACAGCACCTCACAGACACGCTGCAATATGTGATGTATATAGCACCTCAGAGACACACTGCAATATGTCATGTATACAGCACCTCACAGACACGCTGTAATATGTGATGTATATAGCACCTCACAGATACACTGCAATATGTCATGTATACAGCACCTCACAGATACACTGCAATTAGTC